GAAATGGTTGGGATGGACAGTATTTGCTCTCCTTCATTCCCAGTTTAGCTTGTTTCTTTGGTTTTTTATCATTGTTGGCAGCATTCCCCATGCCTAGCAATCATTGTTGTACAGCCTGCATGGCACCTCTGCAGCTCAAATACAATCATGACCTCTGTCCCTCTTGCCTCTGCCTCCAACACTTGAGGGGAGGGCCTATCGGAAGATCCCTGCATGAACTGCAGCTACATGCCTAGTGCAGTCAGGGATGCTAGGCGAAGAGGGTTGGATCAGCTCCTGGGTGGTGTCACCTCACAAGAGCAATTGACTCCTCCCCTTCTGTCCATGGCTCAGTGGTTGACCAAACCCTAGCCTGGACGATCAAAGTATATAGAATACATGTAGAAAAAGGCAAAGGAATCCTAAGTTTGCTTCTTAGGTGGACCAGTGAACGGCAGAGCTTGACGACCATAAGGCTGCCGTCTCAGCCCTCCTGACAGAGGTAGGTAGAGGAAGCATACTTCTGCTGAAACCACTGCAGGTCTGAAGGAGCATGTCCCATCAATCACAGCTTCTACCAGAGTTTGGGGAATATGGGGGAGATTTGCTATCCCATGATCGCGCAAATCTCTGAGGACAACTCAATGGGGCCTGTTATTTAGATGGCTCTCTTGATACCAGACCTGCAGCAGGCACAGCCACATCGAGCAGGTGACTTTTTTTGGGTGCAGCTCAGCCCCGGTCACCTTCTCAGTGCTTCCTTCAGAGGAATACCTGATAGAGTTGCAAGTGTCTTGGAAAGATTTGAGAGCCCTCTCTCATGCTAGGGTTAGGGTACAGAGTGCTTTGTGACAACAAACAGCGTTAAATGAATCCCCTGTCTCCTGCTTGTTCAGCTCTGACTTTATGAGAAGACTCAGGCATTCGTTCATACGGCCCACAGGGCTCCGCCTCCTCCTCGTGTCATGTTTACAGCGATAGGCTATCTGCTGAAATGGCTTAACTTGGTGTTCCTTTAGCCAAGCGCAGACCGGATTAGCATCTCAATATCAGCGGGTCTACCTGCTGAAGGTGTGTTTAAACCAAGGTCTTCACAATAAAAGTTACAGGTTTAAAGGTCTATGACTGGCTTTTATTGTGAAACAGTGATATCAGGAAATGGGGTATTTTCAGTGTAGCAACGTAACACAATTTAGACTTAGATACAAACATAGGAGAGAAACAAAACTCTAAACCTCTCAGATTCAGTTAGAAGATTCGATATCCTGAGAAGTGAACTAAACGTCTTTCTAAATGGAACTCTTTCCAGCAGAAACCTTTATGATGGTGAGGACTCTCCTCATATAAGCTCATATACCTTTAAAACAACACATTGATAATCTTGCCTCTCAGTCGAGCTTATGTGAAGCTAAATTAGCCTTTAAGGACATAACTTAGGGAACATTCTTACTGCCTCAAAATACTAAAAGTAAAATCTACTTCTTTTTCTGTTAAGTTAGATGAAGAGGATGTCAGTATTTTCTTAATAAGTTGGGAAGAAATTCCCTGTCATAAAATAGTAAATTATTTAAATATTGTAAGCCTTGATTTGATATGTCATGACATTTTGCTGCTTGTAAAAAAGTGGCAGGTAAAAAAAAAAAAAAAACAGTGACGGGTAAATTTTTGAATCCACCCCCTTCAAGACAATGGCCATTTATGCTTAAGGCATGACCATGGGCTTCATTCCAGCCTGATGTAGGACTCTCCCTCACAGTTTGTCAAAACCACACCACTCAAGGGCAGTGCTTGGGGCCCACAGGGACCCTGTCAATGTCCATCTAGCCCTCAGATGCTGCAGGGCTCCACCTGCTCAGTCTCTTTCTGGAATACTGTCCTCATACACACGAACAGGTAGCAGCTGTTCTCATCCTGCTCCACGGATCTCATATATATATATATACTTTATTTGAGAGGACAGTAAATAGAGCGAGAAACCAAGGAGTGGGAGAGGAGCCACAAGTCAGACTTGAACTTGGGCCACGCGACATAACCACTAGAGTGCCGGCGCCCCAAAACAGGATATTTCTGCTGAGCAGAATTTACTGTTACTTTTATTTGTTGGCAGGCTGTCCCCCACCGTTGGATAGTCGCAGTGCATTGTGGAGCAGTTGAATATAACCAAATCAGTTATGGCCAATTTGGTATTCATCCATGAAATTCTCACATACACAAAATTGTACACTATGAATTCTGACTACACACTGTGTGACGTCATATCATAACCTAACCCTTATTGGTCCTCACAACTTCAGGTGTAGACAGACAGCAGGACATCATCAAGGTCATCGAGTGGGCACCTTTTTCCACGGTGTTGTATCAAGATAGGCCAACCAATAGAAAGAGAATATGGATTCAGAAACATTTAATAATACAAACATGATGTCATATTCTCTTCTTCTCTTCAGACACCATAAGAAGGCGGTGAGGGGCGTGGCCTATCACAGACTGTACCCACTGTTTGCTTCAGCATCAGACGATGGATCTGTCATCGTCTGCCACGGGACTGTTTACAAGTAAGCCACAAATACACACACTGTAACACACACACTTTAATATACACTGTTACACACACTGTAATACACACTGTATCACACTGTAATACACAGTGTAGGGGCAGAGTATAATTACACAATGTGATTAGTATTATGACATTTTTGATCCTATAGTGTCACTATATCACTGTCTCTCTCTCGCTCTCTCTCTCTCCCTCAGTGACCTGTTACAGAACCCGTTGATCGTCCCGGTGAAGGTTCTCAGAGGTCATGTGATTACTCATGATCTCGGTGTTCTGGACGTGACTTTTCACCCCACACAGCCCTGGGTCTTTTCCTCCGGAGCAGACGCCACCATCAGACTCTTCACCTAGCAGCCGACCCGACCCGGCATCCTGACCACGGACCTGGTTCTAGCATTGTGCCCATGGTCTCCTAGCAACCTGCCTTTAGGTGATGTGGTTTCTAGGAGACCACCCAGCTGAATCTTACGTAGTTTTTAAACTTTGGCCTTGTTATTATTGTTGATTTTTAATTAAACTGAAACTTTGTGCACACTTTGTTTTCTTGTTACCATGGTGATTCAACTGTATTTGTGCTTTATGTGTGAGCGTGCTAACATTAAAGGAACTGAGGCTGATTGATACCTTATCTCCCTCAGAACACACCTGGTCTAGACTACGAAGAGAGTCCAACTTACCCAGGGTATCTTTGTGTGATCTGGCTTCACTAACCCTAACATCAGAGACCGTGATTAACAGTCACATGAAGCCGCTTATCAACATAAGTTACCCTCGAGTTTCAGAGAGTGCGTTCACATAAAAGGGGCGGAGTTAGCTTCATATAACTATCACAATCATCACTGTGTCTCCCGTCAGCAGATCGTCATATCTAACAAACTCTGAACAAACTATATTAATAATATAAAGAGGTTTAAAACAAACCCAGAGACTAAAGTTACACAGCTGCAGGAACAAATGCAGGAAGGACAACTGGCAGAAAAAAGAAACATCAGAGAGTATTAATGTCCAAACTACAGATTATTATATTTCTGTCCCATCGTTAGTTCACCTTAGAACTGAAGATAATAACTCCTGTTTTTTCTCTGAACTGGATGTGTGTCTCTGACTCTTTCATGTGGAGAGTATAACAGTTTGAGAAGTTATAGTTCAGCTCTGATGATAACAAACAGAGCAGCATGGGGACACTAAACATTCATATGAAGATATAATTCAAAGACATAAGAAAATATTCATCCTTTAACATCTTAAAAACACAACTCAAAGGTTCCGCTGCTTTTTTTAGTCTCTGTTGAAGGATGACGGAGACTTCCACAGGTTGATCTCTTATCTCAAACATAACCTGGAGCAGGTTAGGTGTGCAGCAGAGGTTACCATGGCGATATACCAAGGTAACAAGTGAACCACCTTCGTAGAACTGAAAACTCGGAGTTAACCCTGAAGTGACCTCGCTAACCCCAAATCCTGCTTCATAGCACAGACCCCTGGTTCTGTTTAGTTACCATAGTGATCATTACTTATTATTGATGATAATAGGTCGACAGCAGATTTCAGAAACGGCTTGATCTGGTCTAATTAAGATTTTCAGGGGTGCTGGTATGGAGGCTATAATCCTCCAAGCGGGCGGCCCGGGTTTAAATCTAACCTGTGGCTCCTTTCCCCGCATGTCATTCCCTACTCTCTCTCCCTGATTTCCAACTATATCCACTGTCCTATCTCTCCATTAAAGGCACAAAAAGCCCCAAAATAAATCTTTAAAAATTAAAATTAAAAAAAAGATTTTCAAATGACGGGGAATCGTCATGTGCTGTATTTGGAAAAACGACATGTCATTACAGGCCCCCTTACAAGCGCCCCCTTTGCTCTTTTATCTTGCTATATAATAAAGTATGCACAAAGACATTTATGTGTTCTTCATAGTTATATTTACCATTTTTTTTGGTACCAAGAATGATGTCGTCCCGCTCTCACTCAATTTTAATTTTGTACTCTCCTGATTGATTTTAAACTAATTTTCCTTCACTGTACTGAACTGCCTCTCCATACCTGGATCGAGGAGGTCAAACCAGAGAAAGTCGTGATTTGTTCAGACTCAGCTCTGATGTCCTGAACGAGGTTGACCTCTCCACCTGATATTATAAATGACATTTTGATGACTTTGTTTGGCGTTACTGAAACAGTTACACACATTTTATTATATTTGTATTATATATATTGTTTTATGATATCTTCATCTTCAGTTAAAACGTTGTTTGGTCCATATGAGAACCAACACTTGATTGCAAAAGCAATGATTAATTTTCTACGTGCTAATTGTTTTCAAGAATTGAAAGTTGTTTGTATGATGTAGTTCCTGTCTGCCTGTGGAGGACAGCGATACGCCTAGCTGCGTCCAAACTGCCGGAATAATTACAAGTCAATTGGAGGAAGAGACTTTTATTGTGAAAGAAATGCCGGCGAATGTGGTCACGTGATTTCCAGCGGAGTGTTTTTGTAGTGACACCGACATGAGGAGAGCAGAAACAATCACACCGAGTCGCGAGGACTGCGTTTACACCAGCTGCTACTGGTGAGCCTATTAGAGGGGGGGGGGGTCAGACCCGAGTCACAGGTCTGAGGACTTTGGACCCGGGTCAGACCCGAGTCACAGGTCTGAGGACTTTGGAGTTATTTACAACTCGGGACTTCACTGTGACTTCCGGTTTTAAGGTGTTATTTTCTTTAGGTCCCTATGATTCCCGTCATGCGGTAAACACTGACAGAATCACCGAGTCAATGAAAATATAATAAACTGAACAGAATCTTTTGGGATTTGTCTCAACATGGCTCAGATTTATCAAATAAAATCTACGTTTTTCAGTGTTTCATAAAATGATGACGAGTTTTAAGCGCGTTTGGTTAACTTGCAGCTTCACGATGCTGCTCCTCCTCTGCTGTCTGCATGACACACACACACACACACACACACACACACACCTTTGTAAACACAGACAATGTTACAATGTTAGATTTACGAACAACCGAACATGCCAGGAGTTGACTAAGACAAGTAAAAACATAGGGAAGGGTAGAAATGGAAGGGTCATCAGTTTACACAATTAAAATAAATACAATATTCAAGAGTCTTCAGGGCCTTGGGGTTCTCAGAGTGCTGGATGGTTTTTATGTACTCATTGAAATAATGTTTGAAAATAGGTTTTCTGTTCACAAATGTACTTTTATGGATATGAAATTTAGCCAAAATTTTAAAAAAGATTAATACTATGGAACTGTTATAGTTTCACAGCATGCTGTAGTCTGTGAACTTCTCCACTCAGACTGTTAAGAGGGGGGGGGGAACTATACTGTCTGTGAACTATACTTCCTGTTAACAAAATTAAGGTGAGAAAATCTCATCTTTAATATCTAAATTTCCTGACCTGATCAATTGAAATGATCCAAATGTGATCTGATAGAAACTAACTGTCCAACAACACAAGTTCTAATAGCTGGTTCTAGAGGAGTCTGACTGTGGTTCTGTTCTTCTTGTCCTGCAGTGAAGAAAATGTTTGGAAACTCTGCGAGTATGTCAGGATGGAGAGAACCGGGCCACTGGAAGAAATGTTTGTGGTTTTCATTTCTAATGAGAACCGAATGGTGAGGACACTCAGAACATCAGCACAAGAACACAACACAGAAACAGACAAATTCTACAGCCATCTTAAGGTTTTACAGAACATGTTCTTTGAAAACAACCATCATGTTCTACAGAACATGTTCTGTGTTCCTATAGAAAGACCTTCAGGTTGTACAGAACATGTTCTGTATTCCTATAGAACACCTTTAAGGTTCTAGAGAACATGTTCTTTGTTCTTAAAGAACACCTTTTAGGTTCTACAGAACATGTTCTGTGTTCTTAAGGAATACCTTTGAGGGTTGTACAGAACATTTGCTGGATTCTTAAAGAACAACCTTCATGTTATACAGAACATGTTCTGTGTTCCTAAAGAACACATTTAAGGTTCTACAGAACATGTTCTTTGTTCCTAAATAACACCTTTTAGGGTTCTACAGAAAATGTTCTGTGTTCTTAAAGAACACCTTTTAAGATTCTACAGAACATGTTTTGTGTTCCTATAGAATACCTTTAAGGTTCTACAGCACATATTCGGTGTTCCTATAGAACACCTTTAAGGTTCTACAGAACATGTTCTGTGTTCTTAAAGAACACCTTTAAGGTTCTACAGAACATGTTCCTTGAAAACAACCGTCATGTTCTACGAACATGTTCTGTGTTCCTATAGAAAGACCTTCAGGTTGTACAGAACATGTTCTGTATTGCTATAGAACACCTTTAAGGTTCCAGAGAACATGTTCTCTTTTCATATATAACACCTTAAAGGTTCTACAGAACATGTTCTGTGTTCTTAAAGAACCCCTTTAAGGTTCTACAGAACATGTTCTGTAGAACCTAAAAGAACAACTTTTAAGGTTCTGCAGAACATGTTCTGTGTTCCTATAGAACACCTTAAGGAGTGTACAGAACATGTTCTGTGTTCTTAAAGAACACATTTAAGGTTCTACAGAACATGCTCTGGGTTCCTTAACATCACCTGTCCTGTTTCTGAGCTGATGATCTCAGGTGTTCTCTGTCTGTTCTCCTTCAGGTTCCTCTGTGGAAGCAGAAGTCGGGACATGGCGATCAACCAGTGATCTGGGTCCGTGATGTTCCTTCTATTTAACCATCACTCTGATGTCACAGACCCTTCTTTATGATCATGATGATGTCATGATGAGGTCATTAATGATGTTATCCTGTGTTTCTTGTGTTCCAGGATTACCACGTCATCCTGCTCCAGGTCTGTCCTCAGTTCAACTCTCTGATTTATGATCTGGACTCTCAGCTGTCGTTTCCATGCAGCCTGAATCTGTACGCGAGCCACGCCCTCCGCTCAGATTGTAACATTAAACCCACCTACCACAGGTAACACACACCTGAACACCACAAGTAACACACACCCGAACACCACAGGTAACACACACCTGAACACCACAGGTAACACACACCTGAACATCACAGATAACACATATCTGAACACCAATGATAACAAACACCTGAACACCACAGGTAACACATATCTGAACACAAGTAAACCTTATCACTGTGATGGAATGATGACATCACAGTGTTGCTTTTCTGTCTGTGCTTGTCTTACAGGAATTTCCGTGTGGTCCCTGCTGACAGCTTCCTGTGTAACTTTGCTTCTGATCGGTCTCACATGAAGAACTCTGATGGGTCTTGGAAGATGCCCCCCCCACCATACCCCCCCATACATACAGCAGGTAACATGATCCACCTGTAACCTGTCATCAGTGACATGATGTGAGCATGTCTTTGACCTCATGATGACATCACTGTGCTGTGTCTCCTCCTCAGAGACTCAGATGAACTTGGATGACTTCATCAGTATGAACCCGGCGGTGGGCTGGGGGGCGGTCTTGAGTCTGGATGACTTCCTGCAGAGATACACATCAGACTTATTGTGGTCATCGTCTTCCTCGTCATCGTCTGCAACAGGCTCGTCGTAATGTTTCTGTGTCAGGAGCACACTGGCGTGTCTTACACCACTAAGGGAACTGAACTTTTGTTTGTCCTGTTTGTAGAAAATAGAAGCGTTACACACTGTGTGGTCCTGTTGTAGCTCTGGTCACCACAGGGGGGCACTGCAGGAAATTCACTGCCCCTCTGAAATTCACTGCCCCTCTGAGCTCACTGATAATGTCTGTGTGTTCACGTCACTGTAGGGCTTTAATGACTTCCTGTTCTCCTGTAGTGTGTATGCTATAAATGTGATGAGTTCATCAGAGGTTCCCTCACTTAAAAACGTTTGTTTGTCAGGGATATGTTAAAATAATGTTGGCAGCCAGTAAAAAAGCAATAACAAGAAGGTGGTTAACTACAGAGGCCCCAACAAAAGATGATTGGATTGGAATTGTGACAGAAATATATAACATGGAAAAGCTGACTTTCTCCCTTAATCCCTCTAGTTTGCATCTGAGGTCCCGGCAGATGGATTTGAGTTCTGTTCTGGTTTGATGTGCACTTGTCGCACTTAGATGTACGATACTGCCTAAACACTGATAAAGGAACTGTATGGATATACAAGAGGAAATATCCTTGGATATATGAGGACGCAGATTGACCTTACAAAAGAATGCACTAGAGAAACGGGCACAGACTGGAATGAACTAATTCCTAAACCTGACTCCTTCTGTTTTGATGTAATAATGCAAAAATGTGACTCTTTGACCTTGCCTGTTTAGTTTTTGTTTGGTTTTTTATCATGCATTCCTGTACTGTTTTTGTTTCTCGTGTAAGCCTGTGCTTTTTTTTCCTTCTTTTTTTTTGTGTGTGCTGTATAACACTAAATAAAAGGTTTGTTTGTTTACACTTTGAATTGTTATCATCTGTCTTGTGATGATGTCATCTCTGATGTCACAGTGAAGATAGTTACCACCTTATTATTATTGATACATATTATGTTTATCGCTCTCTCACTAATAATAACTAATAATAAAATGAGGTTTGTTGTTAATAGGAGGTTTTAAAACACCACAGAAGAGTTTTGATCTTTAAATGAACCCAAGCAAACAGAGGTCCCCACCTTCAAGATGAACAGTCACTCATGCTGATGCTTTCTTTCTTACATCTGGACGTTTTGTTCTCAGTGTTTATTCTGCGAACCATATGACGTCAGAAGAACTACAGCGTCACACGGAGGGGCGGAGCTTACACACAACTCTCTCTGCCTGCGGACTGTTGTTGTTCAGCTCGACATCAGCTGCTAACAGCTTACGCCAGACAGAATGAAGCGCTGCTCCCTTTTTACGCGATTATGTTAGTTATCTCGGGTTAGCTCTGTTTAACCCGGGTTAGCTCTGTTTAACCCGGGTTACCTGTCAGAAGTAGCAGCAAGTCATAGCTAGCCGCTTGCATCATTAGCATGTTGAAGCTAGTTAGCCTGTGCTGTAAATATTAGCTGCTCGTTAGACATTAGCGTCCTTTAGCTTATTGTGTTCTGTATTTAACGTAAATATTTGTTTGTTTTGTTTGTTTTCTCACTGTTACCATGGAGACTTGTCTGTTTAACGGTCCAGCTGGTCCCCTTCTCGGGCTAACAGCTAGCTCGCAAACATTAGCTGCTGTCTCTCTTCGGTCTTTGTTAGCTTACAGCTTAGCTTAGCATCGGTAGCAGGGTGGACGATGATCAAACAGACCGTTTATTGTCGGTGTAGCTGATGCTAAGCTAACAGATCTGTGACCTGTCAGTGTTGTTAGGCAGATTTCACGGGTTTCTCTGGTTGGTGGCTGATATGCAGCTGTTAGCTGATCCAGCTGTGCAGTGACCTTCATCATCATCATCATCAACGTGTGGGTCATTATGGCCCTCAACTCAGGCTGCAGGCACAGCTGCTCTGCACGTGTTGTTTACCTGCTCGTCCTGTCAGGTGAGTTCCCCTGTTGTGTGTCTCCAACACTATTTTAACTAAGTTGTCTGTTACCATGGCATCAACGATACAATGCTGACACCCAGCATTTGAAAATTAATAAAAGTAAACAAACTCCTGTTTGCTGTCTAAATTGCAAATAAACAAACATTGACCATATATGGAAAAGTGGGAGGGGCACATTCCTCTGCAGCTCCTTCCACTTTCCATATATGGTCAATGTTTTGGTTTTAAAACTCGCTCAGAAGGGCAGTTTCCTGATGACTCGGTTGGGCATCAGAAGATGCCGACACGTCTGGTCATTCTGCGACCATGTGAGCAGCTTCCTGTTAACATTGTCTGCCTTTTCCCAGGATGCATTGCTGCGTCTCAGAGGAATGACAACGTCTACGTGTCAGGGATTTCTAATGGTGAGGTCGCAGCATCTAATATATCACAACAATTCTGGAAACAATTAGTGACGGGCTAACCCCTCTCTCTTTCCAGCCTGCGGTGAGGGGGCGGAGCTTCTGCGAGCATCCAGCGGCGTCATCACCAGCCCCGGCTGGCCCTTTCAGTACCCGTCCAGACTGAACTGCAGCTGGAACATCAGAGCCCGACCTGGAGACACCATCACCATCAGGTAACAATCAGGCAGTTTCCATAGTCACAGCATAGGGATGGGTCATGCATCAAAGTCGATATAATGAATAAAACTCAACATAATTTCAGAACCCCACAAACATTAACCCTAGCTGAATGGTTAAGGGCCAAAGTACATTAGAGACCTTCTGATTATCTATGAACCAACCATCGTCTGGGACCGGTCCGCTCTCTCTCCCCAGAGTCAGAACCAAACACAAAGAAGCAGCGTTCAGTTTCTATGCTCCGTATATCTGGAACAAACTGCAGGTCAACTGAGACTCATCTGTTAACCTTTTAACAATGTAAATACATTTATATGTTTCTTGTTTCCTCTGTCATGATGCTTTGGATGTGTGAAGCTCTTTGAATCGCCTCATTGTTGACATGTTCCTATCAGGTTCTAACATGTTCTAACAGGTACCTTTTCTCTGGCTCTGCAGCTTCCAGGACTTTGACCTGCAGGGTTCCCATCGATGCTCGTCAGACTGGATGTCCATCAGCAGCTACAGGAGTCTGGATGGGCTCAGGGTCTGTGGCTCCTCCCTGCCTCCACCATACATCTCCACCCAGGACCACGTGTGGATCCACTTCCACTCTGACGACAGTGTGACGGGGAAAGGCTTCAGGCTGTCCTATGTCAGCGGTGAGGACTGTTTCTCTGCTGCTGCAGACTCACACACCTGAACATCAGCTGATCATAACAGTTTCTTTGCTGCTGCAGACTCACACACCTGAACATCAGCTGATCCTTACAGTTTCTCGGTTGCTGCAGACTCACACACCTGAACATCAGCTGATCATAACAATGTCTCAGTGTGTGATGGAGTAGTGTTTCAGTGTGTGATGGAGTAGTGTCTCAGTGTGTGATGGAGCATTGTTTCAGTGTCTGATGGAGTAGTGTTTCAGTGTGTGATGGAGCAGTGTCTCAGTGTGTGATGGAGCAGTGTCTCAGTGTCTGATGGAGCAGTGTCTCAGTGTCTGATGGAGTAGTGTTTCAGTGTGTGATGGAGCAGTGTTTCAGTGTGTGATGGAGCAGTGTTTCAGTGTGTGATGGAGCAGTGTCTCAGTGTATGATGGAGGATCCAGCAGTGTGATTATTAACTGATGATTCTGTATTATTGTAGGTAAACCAGAGGCGTCAGGCTGTGAGGTGGATCAGTTCCACTGCTCTAATCGGAAGTGTGTTCCTGACTGGTGGCGCTGTAACGCTATGGATGAATGTGGAGATAACTCAGACGAGGAGCTGTGTGTCGACTCCCCTTTCTCCTTCCAGCCTTGCAGCCTCAACCAGTTCCCATGCCTGTCACGCTACACCCGAATCTACACCTGCCTACCGCACAGCCTGCGCTGTGATGGCAGCATCGACTGTCAGGTAACGCTCACCTTCAGTCACTTCCTGTATCCTGGTTCCAGCTACTGGTGTCTACACTGTTGAGTTTTTGTGGTCATAACACCTGACAATGATAATTAAACTGAGTTGACAGACCATCATCTTGACACTCAGACCTGAGACCTGTACTAAGAAGGGTAAGGATTAATCAGGCTCTATAGGAAATGTTTTTACATCTGTGAAGTCAAACGTGACTCTCTTAGCAGAAGCAGCGTGTGTCACCGTAAAATGAAATTGATGAAGAAAAGATAAAAATCCAGGAGAAGTTGTCTCACTTTTAACAACAGCAGAAAGTTCAGTCCCTGACCTGCCCATCATCAACAGAACCCTCTATCCATCATTAACAGAACCCTCTGTCCATCATCAGCAGAACCCTCTGTCTGTAAACAGAACCCTCTATCCATCATAAACAGAACCCTCTATCCATCAACAGAACCCTCTGTCCATCATCAACAGAACCCTCTATCCATCATAAACAGAACCCTCTATCCATCAACAGAACCCTCTATCCATCAACAGAACCCTCTGTCCATCATCAACAGAACCCTCTGTCCATCATCAACAGAACCCTCTATCCATCATCGACAGAATCCTCTATCCATCATCAACAGAATCCTCTATCCATCAAGAATAGAACCCTCTGTCCATCATCAATAGAACCCTCTGTCCATCATCAACAGAACCCTCTGTCCATCATCAACAGAACCCTCTGTCCATCATCAACAGAATCCTCTATCCATCATCAATAGAACCCTCTATCCATCAAGAATAGAACCCTCTGTCCATCATCAATAGAACCCTCTATCAAACAACAGAACCCTCTATCCATCATCAACAGAACCCTCTGTCCATCATCAATAGAACCCTCTATCCATCAAGAACAGAACCCTCTGTCGATCAACAGAACCCTCTCTTTCCTCAACAGAGCTCTGAAGTCAAGTTGAAAAAATGTCCCTGCTCACAGGTCATACCTGAGCTCCTCACAGGTGGGACCTCCTCATAGGTGGGATCATATTAGGACACCTATGATGATGTTGTTGGTAGAAGCTCACACGGGTTTCTTCAGTGTATGGAGCTCTTCCCTGTTTCTCTCTGTGTTCTGGGCGAATTTCTGCTGAGCCGTTGACACCTGTCATCCTGTTCTTCCTGTTTAGGACCTCGGGGATGAGATTGACTGTGACGTTCCCACTTGTGGAGAATTGTTGAGGAACTTCTATGGGTCCTTCAGCTCTCCAAACTACCCAGATTTTTACCCTCCAGGGAGCAACTGCACCTGGCTGATCGACACCGGAGACCACAGGAAGGTACGGCAAGTTCACCCGACAAAGGTTAAAGAAGGGAGTGTAACTTCCACTGTGATAACCCCTCTGTGATAACCCCTCCTTCCTCTGTGCCCCTTGCAGGTCATCCTGAGGTTTACTGACTTTAAACTTGATGGGACAGGTTACGGAGATTACGTAAAGGTGTACGACGGGCTTGAGGAGAACCCTCGCCGTCTCCTCAGGGTGCTGACAGCCTTCGACTCCAGGGCGCCGGTCGCTGTGGTTTCATCGTCTGGTCAGCTCCGAGTTCATTTCTATGCAGACAAGATCAACGCTGCCAGAGGCTTCAACGTCACCTACCAGGTGTGATTTTTAAACCAGTGTGTGTGGTTCTATTTGTGTGTTATTCTGTGTGTATTTATGACTCTGTTCTTTAGGTTCACAGGTTCTGTCTGTGCTTCTGTTCTTTAGGTTCACAGGTTCTGTCTGTGTCTGTGCTTCTGTTCTTTAGGTTCACAGGTTCTGTCTGTGTCTGTGCTTCTGTTCTTTAGGTTCACAGGTTCTGTCTGTCTCTGTGCTTCTGTTCTTTAGGTTGACGGGTTCTGCCTGCCCTGGGAGGTACCCTGTGGGGCTAACTGGGGCTGTTACACGGAGCAGCAGCGCTGTGACGGGTACTGGCACTGTCCAAACGGACGGGATGAGCTGAACTGTTCTTCATGTCAGGAGGATGAGTTCCCCTGTTCCAGAAACGGGGCCTGTTACCCTCGATCAGACCGATGCAACTACCAGAACCGCTGCCCCAATGGTTCTGACGAGAAGAACTGCTTCTTCTGCCAGCCCGGAAACTTTCACTGCAAGGTACCAAAAGGATTCGTAGAACTTGATAGATGTTATTTTAACAAACACAAACTTGTGTTCAGTTCAGAGTCACTCAAGGAGTCGCATCACCAGTTTGTCTGAGAACGTTCAGGAACATTCAGAAAAGTTCAGAGATGTTCAGAAACTTTTAGAATAGTTTGTTCCTGCAGACTGACCATAGGTTTCCTTACTACACACAGTTCTTGTTTTCGTCTCATGATCAATCATTTAGAGGGCCGCCCTCCACAACAGACGATAGAGAGAGAGTTCTCCTTTATTGTCATTAAGCTTTGTACCAAATATGCGTTTCTTCCTTGGAACAACAAGAGAAACATTCATCACAATCAGCCTCACACTTTTATCCATAATAGTTTTTTAAAAAAGATATGAAAAGAGGCAGACTTCAGTGTTCAGGACAATGGAGTGTAGTGGATGGTGAAGTACAGTGCAGTCTGCAGGTAGGACCTTTGGATGGTGAAGTACAGTGCAGTCTGCAGGTAGAACCTTTGGATGGTAAAGTGCAGTCTGCAGGTAGGACCTTTGGGTAGTAAAGTACTGAGCACATTTTAACGTATGTAAAATTGTACATGAAATGTTGCACGAGCTACTTGTCAGAGATAATATCACTGCACCTTTAATATTTTGTAAATTACATGTTATTGCGGTCTAAAATATGTATTTATAAATTACACAGTAAATGCTAAAGTTGATGTTTGTAATGTTCTATAAATGTAATCGCATCATAAATCATGTTCTGCACCAGAAAAGAAGGTTTGAATTAAATACTTATTTACAGGAACATATTTTACAGTTAGTCTGCTCTGACCTTTGACCTCCTGCAGAATAACCGCTGTGTGTTTGAGTCGTGGGTGTGCGACGCTCAGGACGACTGTGGGGACGGCAGCGATGAGGAGAGCTGTCCCGTCATCGTTCCCACCAGAGTCATCACCGCCGCCGTCATCGGCAGCCTCATCTGTGGCCTCCTATTGGTCATCGCCCTCGGCTGCACCTGCAAACTCTATTCACTGCGCATGTTTGAACGCAGGTGAGCTCACCCGTGCCCACAAACACACTTTAATTCAATTGATTAATTACACTGATAATTGGTTACTGCTTCTCAGCAAAACCCAGTCAGGTGTTTGGTTAATCAGTCAATCTTTATTTGTATAGCGCCAATTCAGCAGGTAAAATACCTTATTCATTGGTCGATCTGATCTGAGAGCCTTTCGATTTGTCGTTGCAGGTCATTTGAGACCCAGCTGTCTCGTGTAGAGGCGGAGCTACTGAGGAGGGAAGCCCCGCCCTCTTATGGTCAGCTGATCGCCCAGGGACTGATCCCACCTGTGGAGGATTTCCCAGTGTGCTCTGGGAGTCAGGTACAGTCCTTGCTCACCTGAGGCCTCTTTTATCAACAGTGTTTACCTGAATGTCAGCTGCATGCCCTACCTTTAAAATGACCTCATTAAAGATAAGTTAAAAAAATTCACACACACACAAAATGTTCCTGAAGACTTACCTTTACACCTGAGTGTGACCTTTAGAACCTGCTGTTTCCTGTTCGTCTCGCTTATCTTTTAAAATGTTTGTCCCTCAGGCCTCTGTCCTGGAAAACCTCCGTCTGGCTGTTCGCTCTCAGCTCGGCTTTACCTCCCTCAGACTTCCCTCCTCCGGTCGACATGGCAACCTCTGGCGGCGTCTCTTCACATTCTCGCGGTCCCGGCGGTCTGGCTCTCTGGCTCTGGTCTCTGCTGACCTGGAGGACAGCGCTGGCACTGGGAGCACTGGTAGTTCTGGTTCAGACCTGCTGTCTCCGGACTCAGATGACACGGATACGGAGGGCGAGCGAGGAAGAGAGCGAGGTGTGGGTGCAGTTGGCGGGCCTGTTGCCCCTCTACCCAACAAAACTCAGCCCTCCTCTGCTGTAGAGGCTGTGCTGTCTGTCACATCAGCCGCCCCTGTGATGCCAACGCTGGCCCGCGAAAGACCCAGAGAGGCCCCCCCCCCTCCAGCCCAGTCCCATGGTAACATCCAGACCAGATCCTGAATGCCAGAGTGAGGCCTCACAGCTCCAGGCTCCGCCCACATCAGCCCTACAGCGACTAGCCCAGAACCTGCACAGACTTGCCAGAAACCTGACCAGAACAAGCCCCTCCCAGCAGGACCAGACATGGACCAATCACAGTCCACTTCACCAGCTGGAGACAGGAAGAGGTGGGTCGATGCTGCTGAGCGAAGAGGAAGCAGAGAAGAAGAAGAGGACGTCGAGCTCCTGATACTGTCTCTGACTCCTCCTCCTCCTCCTCTTCCTCCTCATTGGTGAGCGACATCAGACAGCCGCTCCTGGAGCACCACCCACACCGCCAACACCATGGAAATGCTGGTCGGGGAGGGCGTGACGGCCCCTGTGAACACTGCAGGATGGTCCACACGGCTCAGATCCCTGACGCCTGTCTTGAGGCAACTGGCAAGACAGAGAGCAGCGACGACGAGTTGCTGCTACTCTGCTAGAGGGCTAACATGCTCAGCTAACATTCTAACTGATAGTCTTACACTTGCAGCACTCTGACTCAACACTTACAGCAGGCTTACATGCTAACTGACCCATTACTCTGACTCAAAATGTTCAGCAAGTTAACATGCTAACTGACAGACTAGCACTTACTACTCTGACCCAACAGGCTACCACTGCTAAATGTAACCTTAGCACACATCTCATACATTAGTCAGCTAGACAACATGCTAATATATCACACTGGACTACAGCTATCCATAAAGCTAACTTGTTCTCTGGACTGTGACACAGATAAGCTAACATGTGTTAGACACGTTAGCATGTTAGCTGGATCAAATGTTAGCCCTCAATAATGTTTGAGATAACGGACCAATCAGAAACCAAATGAATGATGTCACTGGTTGGGTCCTAATGTTGGTATGACTGTAAAAACTGCCTCCTGTTGTTTCCCTGGTCCGTCCGTAAAAACCATTACCCAGGTGTACTTACTGCTTGGTACGACTTTGTCAACTCTGACCTCCTCCTTGTTGGTACGAGTGTAAACTATGTCCTCACAGAACAATCTCTGTTACTGAGAACGTTAAAGTCGCATCATAGACGACACATACCTGTTGGACTGGTGCTTCGGTTAAAATGTCCCCCCCCCCCCATCTCCTCAGTGCTGTTTGATCTATTTATGAAGAAGATGATGAAGGTCATGTGAACAGTGGAAGGTAACCAGAGACCTCCGCTAGCAGGCAAATGTATCAATATCATTGACTGTAATCAGAGTCACAACAGTCAGCCTGAGTCTCAGTGACTCAGTTTGAGTTAAGGTGAGTCAGTCTGAGTCTCTGTGAGTCAGCCTGAGTCTCACTGAGTCAGTCTGAGTCTCAGTGACTCAGTTCGAGTCAAGGTGAGTCAGTCTGAGTCTCAGTGACTCAGTTCGAGTCAAGGTGAGTCAGTCTGAGTCTCTGTGAGTCAGCCTGAGTCTCACTGAGTCAGTCTAAGTCTCAGTGACTCAGTTCGAGTCAAGGTGAGTCAGTCTGAGTCTCTGTGAGTCAGCCTGAGTCTCACTGAGTCAGTCTGAGTCTCAGTGACTCAGTTCGAGTCAAGGTGAGTCAGTCTGAGTCTCTGTGAGTCAGCCTGAGTCTCACTGAGTCAGTCTAAGTCTCAGTGACTCAGTTCGAGTCTCACTGAGTCAGTCTGAGTCTCAGTGACTCAGTTCGAGTCTCACTGAGTCAGTCTGAGTCTCAGTGAGTCAGTCAGAGTCTCTGTGAGTCAGTCTGAGTCTCAGTGACTCAGTTCGAGTCAAGGTGAGTCAGTCTGAGTCTCAGGCTGGAAGTGTCTCAGTGTCTCCAGCCCTCTGCTGCATTGTTCCTCTTCTCTCCTGACTGTTGGTGGATAAACAGCAACACAAACGTTTTTGTAAAAAGTTTAATCAATGAGGTCATCACTCAGACTGAAAGGTAACACCAGCCAGACTGACATGTCTGTGTCATGTGACCCTCATCATACTGAGCATGCTCCATGCTCTCTGTGCGGCTCTAAAAGATGACGTTCTGACAGAAGGAGGTGGTCTGAGGTTTACCTGTTCACAAACTGAGGTTCAACTTTTGAGCAAACGTAGAACTTCTCTTTATTGACTCCTCATCTTTATTGACTCCTCCTCTTCATTGACCCTTCCTCCTTATAATTTGCCCCTCCCCCTCTTTATTGCCCCCTCCTTCTCTGTATTGACCCCTCCCCCTCTTTATTGACTCCTCCTCAAACTGAAGCCATCCACAGATCCTGTCTGTATTTATGTTTTTTGGTACCCAGATCTCGGCTGACCTATTGTGAGTGTGACTGTGTATATTTATTATTATTATTATTCTTGTTGTTGTTATTATTATTAATATGATGGTCATTCTTGTTGTTGTTGTTTTGTTTTCTAACCTGCATGATTCCAGTGGTTTGCTGTTTTCTTTTGAGTCTGTAGTTAAACTGTTTCAAGAAAAAGGTTCACGATTCTTCTCTTTATTTTCATCATCCAGGTGTTTAATCATGAACACACACACACTAACACACACACGCTCAGTCAAACACACACTTACACACGCGCTCAGTCACTAACACAAACACTAACACACACAAACACACTCAGTCACTAAAACACACCCACACAAACTTACACACAACACTAACACACGCTCAGTCACTAACACACACCTACACACACTAACACACACTCACTCAGTCATTAACACACTCACTTAAAGCCCTGACACAACAAGGAGCTCGCTCGCCATCGGCCCTAGTTGGACCTGCAGAACGTACGTGGTGGCTGGCCGTCAGCTGTAGTCTTTGCGGTGTGTTGAAGTGAAACTTTTTCACCAAGACAAAAGGCGACGTGAGGCGAGGGAGGCGACGCCACAGTCTGCCTTTTTTTTTTGCCACTAGTGCTTGTTGTGTCAGGGCCTTAACACACACACACTAAAACACACTCACTAAGAGCTCCACACTCTGCTGGTCACACTCAGTACTGCCGTGTTTCTTAACCTGAGGCACAGGACCCTCTGAAAGACTCTTAAGCAGAATGTAGATTCCTTCCAGAGATATTTTTGGTATGAAACATAACATATCATAATCATAAGAGTTCCAAAATATTCAAATAAAGAACCTTTAAAATCATCATCAACATCTGACGTTTTTTAGAAGATAAGTAATCCTGTTCTTTCTGTTAAAAAGCATGAGCAACAAAGAAATGAAATGTTTCTGTTACAGAACCTTCCATAAGTAAAGAGTGATGTCAGTGATACTTGGAGAACCTTTATAGAACCAGAGTGATGTCACTGATACCTGGAGAACCTTCATAGAACCAGAGTGATGTCACTGATACCTGGTGAACCTTTTTAGAACCAGAGTGATGTCCCTGATACCTGGAGAACCTTTTTAGAACCAGAGTGATGTCAGTGATACCTGGAGAACCTTTTTAGAACCAGAGTGATGTCCCTGATACCTGGAGAACCTTTATAGAACCAGAGTGATGTCATGTAGAACACATTGTGAGAGAACCGATCAGTGTTGAGAATCTTTTATTTTTATTTTTAGTTCTCAGCTTCTTTATCTCACAGTTTGTTTTAATGTTCTGATTTTTATCGTTCCATGCAAACACTTAGAGAACCGCGGTCTGTTTTCCTTCGTCTCTGTGGAAATGATCCGTCTGCAGATTCTGCACATAGTTTCTGGAGAGCTGTTGTGATTGGTCGTCAGCTAAAGAGCGCTTGGATTCTGGTCCATTTTTTCCCAGCATCCCTGGCAGTGGTGCCTTGCTCTCCCTTTAAGGATAATTTCCTGCCTGAGCGTCAGGGGGCGGAGCCTCCAAGCGTTGATGCTATGATGTCACCATGCAGTATGCAGCAGCTGAGGAAATCTTTTTAGGCCGTTAACCACAGATCTCCTCCTCTGTTACTATGGCAAGTGTCCGGCTCCTGATGCTATGACTTGCTGCCCTCTGTCTCTTTATTGGTCAGCGGGGCCAAGGCGGGATCCACCAATGAGGTGGCAGGAAACAGTTTAAACCAGCCAATCACCATGTTGGACAGATCTAGATCGTCCAATAAGATTTGAGCAGAACCCATGAAGGATTTATGATCCATCCGCCCGTAATCCCCCCACACGATGATCTACAGAGAGAGACAGACACGGGGAGAGAGATGGACAGGAGGAGAGAGAGGGCCAGGAGAGAGAGGGACAGGAGGAGAGAGAGATCCAGGAGGAAAGAGTGAGACAGGTGGGACAAAGAGACAGGTTAGATGTGTGAATATCTCTATATATACATTCATTATCTCTGCTGTAAATCTTGTTCAGGGCAGCGAGGCGCTGGAGCCGATCCCAGCTGTCATTGGATGATAGGTGGTCGCTGGTTAAACACTGACAAAAGGCCCTGACACACCAAGGAGACCGTCAGCCTGTCGCTGAGCGGTCGCCCCCCTAGTTTTTGCAGTGTGTCCAGCTCCGTCGCTACCCATCGGCCCCAGTTGGCCCTTTTTTGGCTGATTCTACATGTTGATTCGGAGGAGCCGTCGTGGTTGTTCCACTAATAAAAGACCAAGGGCTGACAACGCCAGCGCCATTTTCAACTTTTTTTCGTCACCACTAGTTCTTTGCCGTCTGCTTGGTGTGTCAGGGCCTTAAGACAGACAACCAGACACACTCCCATTCACACCTATGAGTCATTAATGAGCATGTCAGTGGACTGTGGGAGAACCTGAACAGAACCCAAACATGAGACAGGAGAACATTAATACACTCCACTAATAATCTTCTGTCAGAAAGTTCCAGCTATGAAGCGAGGAACCAACGAACCACTACGTCCCTGTGTAGGCCTCTATACAGTATATATTATGAGTGTGTGTGTGAGTGTGTTTGTTACCTGCAGTACTTTGCCCTCGGGGTTCTCCTCAAACTGAAGTTGTTGTTGATAAAGAGGATCAAGAGTTTTTCTCGCCAAACGAGTTCTTCTCTTCAACACACACTTCCCGTTATCCATCAGGTACACCTTCACATAGGGTGCTACACACAAACATACACACACACGCACACACACAATTCTATATCATAAGTACACAGAGCTCAGCTGCTTTATACACAAACTAGTGTATTTGTGTGTAGTATGAATGTGTGTAGTGTGATTGTGTGTAGTGTGATTGTGTTTAGTGTGATTCTGTGTAGTGTGATTGTGTGTTTTTACCTGGGGTGTTTTTGTTGCCTTGCTTTCCCACGAGCCCCCGGGCTCGGATGACCTCCACGTCCAGACGCTCCTTCCTGTACACCATCCCTATCTGGATGTCACCTTATCACAACACAGCCAATCAGAGGAGCTCAGTTATGTGGTGTCACAAAAGTGAAGAGTGTGTTTTCAGGTGGACTGGTTACAATGTGGACAGGTTCAGAGTGAATACATCGAAACCGTTTTTGATTGGTCATTACCCATAGGGGGCGTGGCCAGAGTCTGCCGTCCAGCCAGCTGGGCGGGGCCTAATCCTTCCAGAAAGCCAGTGAATTGTTTGTCTGACGCCAGCTTCACCCCTGGAAATATCAAGCTGCAAAGACAGACTCAAATAATTAAAAGTTAATACAGAGAACTTCATAAAAATCAGATTTAATCAAACTGAAACGTCAGTGAAATTTGGTATTTGGTGTAGGAAGAAATGATTCGTACGCTCCAGGTTTGGGTTCCTCAGCGTCCGGGTCTCGGCTCTGCTGTCGAGTAAAACGAGATTTAAACTCAACGGCCAATCCGGTCTCTACACTCCTCTGAACAGGAAGTCTCACAACCTTCTTCTTCTTCTCCTCCTCTGGAAAGACAGAGCGAGTAAAAGAGAGACAGAGAACAACACTGAATATCAGCAGTTCGTAAACCCAACTGCAGGAGGCAGCAGAGACTTAAAACAACAATCAGTCATCAACTAATCAGAGCTGACGAGGGTCTGGCTCTGCTCATGTTAATTGGTTAAACTTAAAGATTAAAAAGTGAGAAAAGTCTGACAATAAAAAATAAAGCCCTTCTTCTAGTCCGGCCCAAAGATGTTCTGTGTCTGTAAAGATGTTCTGTGTCTGTAAAGATGTTCTATGTCTGTAAAGATGTTCTGTGTCTGTAAAGATGTTCTGTGTCTGTAAAGATGTTCTATGTCTGTAAAGATGTTCTGTGTCTGTAAAGATGTTCTGTGTCTGTAAAGATGTTCTATGTCTGTAAAGATGTTCTGTGTCTGTAAAGATGTTCTCTGTCTGTAAAAAGGTTCTGTGTCTGTAAAGATTTCTGGATTCTGGTTTCTGGATTTACTGGATGAACTCCTGATACTGGTTGGATTCGGACTAACCCTCTGGGTTCAGCTGGGACGCGCTCTGACTCTTCTTTCCCAATCCAACCATTCCCATCATCTTCGCTCCAAAGCTTGAGCGCCGCTTCTTGTCGTCATCATCGTCATCATTTCTTCCTAATGAACAAATTTCCCCACCCACGCTTGATGACTTGGTGAGAGGTGCTGCCACCCTGCAGGCACAGAGGTAAACAACCACATTTATCCAGATTAAGAGGTGTGACAAAAGATTAGGGGGAAGGAGTTTCGTTGCAACACAGAGGAAGTGGATTGGGTCATGATTGCTGTCTATCACAAAAGTCAGTTGCTTACTTTGCAGGCTCAGGCTCCGCCTCCTCTCCTTCATCCACTGATTCACTCTTCTGAAGTTTGGCCCCGCCCTCTGCCTCCCCAGCTACTTTCTCTGTTCCCTCTGACCCCATCCCCAACTCCCCTGATTGGCCTTCAACAGCCTCCGCCCGACTGTCCCAGTCAATAAGAGGAGAGAAAAGAAGCATGCAGAAAGAAGAACACAACAAGAGACAAGATGACAAGCACATGCTAACAGAACCAAGACAGCTAATATATGTTTACAATGCTATAGAAACAGGAAAGCTAGCACATGCTAAAAGATTTGGTAGCACACCTTAAAAAGTATTTCAGAAGCAGCCGGCGGTGTCATGCTATCAGATTTATATTAGGATGCTAACATGCTATCAAAAACGGGATAAGTATCATGCCTCTTCTATATTTTTATACAACATTTAGATCAACATTTAGATCTGAATTACTGACGCTAATATTTTAAATTATTGACAGCATGAAGGTAGTTGATTCTAGGGAGGACGAGGTGGGGGGAGACAGCTCTCGCCAATGTTGTGAATTTGGACTGCAGTACACATTTTAAATGCTAGGTGTCAGAGTTACATATTGCTCCTTTAATATTGATGATGATCGGAGTCTTTTTTTTCCAATTAGCTGTTTTCATCTCTCACTCTACAGGCAAATTAACATCCTGGTATATCAGAGTTAGTCAGAGATCTCAGGTGTCGTCACCTGTTCTCACCTGTCTCTGTTTACTCTGCATCACTCACACTGATTTAATGAGGACAACACTACGATGAGAGGATCCTGCAGAAAATGACTGTGTGAAATATTAAATTAATAATTTATTAGACCTCAATGTGTTTATAAGTGACCTATCACAGCCCAGCTCTGACAGTTTAAACTGGATTTAGCGTCTGTGTTGTAGCTGCAGTCACAGCTGTGTAAACCAGGACCAGGTTAAAACTGAACCCTGGGGGCGCTGGTGGTTCAGTGGTTAGTGTGTGCGACCCATGTATGGAGGGTATAGTCCTCCAAGCGGGCGGACCAGGAATCCAATCCAACCTGTGGCTCCTTTCCCGCATGTCAATCCCCACGCTCTCTCTCCCTGATTTCCAACTCTGTCCACTGTCCTATCTCTCCATTAAAGGCACAAAAAGCCCAAAAATAAATCTTAAAAAAAAATAAAAAACTGAACCCTGTGTTGGCATAACACATGTTCTGATCTCTGCTCTGTGATTGGTTGCTGGTGTCACCTGTTCCTCAGTACTCACCGTGTATCATTGGACATGGCCGACATCTCGCTGACATCACTGTCTGATGATTTAAAGGACAGACTGTCTCGCATCTGGACACGCAGACAGAGCAGAGCACAGGTAAGCAGGTGAGTGACATCATCAGTGATGTTATAATCATGTGATATGATGGCAGCTTACCTTTAATGGATCCTTCATCCCACCTGCAGAGACACAACAGAACGTTAGTTCTGACGTCATAGTTTGGTCATTTAATATCAAAGCGTCAAAGTTACAGAGATGTCACTGAATCAAGACTAAAGTGACATCACAGCATGAATCAAACAACCAATCAGCTTCAGTAACAGTAGCTCTGATTCACATTACAAACAACACACAACAATGTAACTTTCAGCTTAATAAACAACATGGTAAATGTTGGGCCTGCCCACATCTCTGACATCGCGTCACACAAGGATCATTCTATTCCAGATATATGGGAGTGTCTAATGTTACACCGATGTGTCTGTTTTCCCAATAGTTCATGGCCAATAGCCTGTCTTGCTATAAACGTCACCTTATCCATACTTTGAATGCAGTTCTGAAAACCACTCCTACTTTAAATCCATCTCCTAAGTGTGTGCCTGAAGGAATAACCCTGAGGTATTGATAGAAGAAACACATCCATGTTCTGAGAATTTCATTGGCTACAGGAAATGTTAGTCATCGGCACATTCACGTGCAATTGGCCGTCAGAACAGGGAGAAGTACCTCCTTTCAACAAAGGCTCTCATTGGCGGTACAAATGAACATTTCAGATGAATCCTTTAAGAGTGAAATCAATCTATCAAATGAATATTTACCGTCTGAACTCGCTGACAACACCTCGCCTTCACATTCAAACCATGCAAAGAGTGGTGATAATGGTGATGATGATGGTGATGATGATGATGATGGTGATGTGACGATGATGATGGTTAGGGTGATGATGATAAAGATGATAAAAGAGAAAAGAGACTTAACAAGAAGAGATTTACAAACAAGACAGAATGAAAGGCTGAATAATTGAATGGATGGATGTACAGACCAATGGATGGTCACTAAATTGACAGGAAGTCTATATAAGGCTAACAGTACATCTGGAGTTTCTAGAAGGGGTGGGACTACGAGTCTGAAGGTAGGTGTGGCTAATAGGAGGTACTGTACCATTGGCTGTTTTCTTTTGCTGGTCCTCCCATGTGACCTCTGCATCACAGCAGAGAGACAGATGATTGGTCAGACTATCTTCTCAGGTGATCCTTCTTATACCAAACCAATCAAACCAGCAGGATCACACATTGTCCCCCACACACACACCTAGACACTAACATCTGACCAACGTCACCTGAACGCATCATCTAATCCACCTGAGACCCTAACTCACCTTTCCTGGTCCCTCCAGGTGTGGCTGAGCGTCTGTCAGGCTCTGCAGCCGACAGGTGAGGTGTTATGTGAGAGACGTAGACAAAGAGGGAGAGGGAGTGCATGAGTGACCACATGTTAAAACAATGTTTATGATATGTGTCCATGTATAAGGTCAGTATACAAAGGGACCATCCGTTTCAGAGTGTGATAGTAACGTCCCTGTGACTTTCTCCTTCAGTGTGAACATTGGAGGAGTAATGAGGGCCAAAGTGATCCCACCACTGTGCTGCCATCAGGGGAGGTAACAGAACCCTACACAGGGACGAGACGGGATCACTGTAAGAGGGCGGAGCCAGCGAGGGAGAGCAGTGCTTTGTGAGTGGAGCCCCAACATGTCGTACACAATGTGAAAGAACAGAATGGGGTACCAATATTAATTGGGGCTTTGGCCAACTGCTACGGAATCTCACTCTGAAAAAAGGCTTATTTGTCTAACATTCAGATGGCGACCATTTTCCTCTGACATCACACTCAGGGGGTCAAAAACAAAAGATGACTCGTGGTCATCGTGTGTCACAGCTTCTCTTCGATCCGATATTTGAAATAAGAGGAAATCTGTCAAAACGTGTTGGAGAACCTGTGATCAACAACAACATGTGATCATCAACAACAGGTGATCAACAACAACAGGTGATCAACAACAACAGGTGATCATCATCAGGTTATCAACAACAACAACAACAGGTAATCATCATCAGGTGATCATCTTAAGGTGATCAACAACAACAGGTGATCAACAACAGGGGCCCGTTTCTGAAAGAAGGTTGAACAAACCTCAGTCTAACCCTGAGCTCTGAGTTGATTTACTCTCAGATGGGAAACTCTGAGTTCCTGGTTCCAGATCAGCAGATTTGAATTTGTTAAATCAACTCTCAGTAGGTCCACTCGGTGTTCAGCGCGTGCACCACGATGATAAAAAGCCAACACAAATGGCATCCTGATTCTACGATTCACCATGGCAACAGGTGACAAAAAAGAGATCCTCCTACTTTAACCATCTCAAAATATCTAGCATATCTTCATGCGGACATACGGAGACTATGAACAGGTTTCAAGAAGGAAAAAAAGGAACAATGCTGCAGCGCAGCAGCAAAGGAGAGAGAAGTGGGGTAAGAGAAAATAGCTGCTCGAGTCTATTAATTTAATATTTAATAATTAATCAGAATTATTATAGGCCTATTGCAGATCAAATCTGGTGGAATTGTAGGCCTATTAAACCTAAAATTTATTTTCAATAAGATGTAATCAAGCAGAAGAAAGGCGACTTTAAAACAGCTCAAAATTAAATAAGAACATCAAGGCTCATATAGATTCAAAGTTAACGTCATTCAGAGTCTATTTGAATGTGCATTAACTTTATTCCCAACATAAAGCTGAATTCACACACAGCCTAGGCTTAATATCCTCTCACCTTCATCCCATTTAGTTTATTAATTAATGGAGTTACCCCTCTTTCTCGGGTTTGAGTGACCTCCCCTTCTGAAACGGAATACCCAGAGTTTCAGGGTTTCAGGGTTAACTGACTCAGAGTTTGCACTAAACCTTCTTTCAGAAACGGGCCCCAGGTGATCAACAACAGGTGATCAGCTACAGGTGATCATCAACAGGTGATCAGCTCCAAACTTTTTCAGAGTATTCATATTTTTACTATGATCAAACATTGAACCGATCAGTATCACTTGATTATAGTGTTTGAGCTTTACACCCAGAGAGTGACGTCAGAGGAAAACAGAGCATCTTCACCTCTGAGTTCTGAAAACACACCTGACAGATGAACACAGGTGAGTGGAGCAGGAAGTGAGAATGTTCAAGCAGGTACACCTCTGTTCATACCTGATCATGTGCATGTTTCTTTAAGACTAATAAACTGCACAAAAACATACACACCTGTCACTACCTACTGATCCTACTGGTGATTGGTTCTAAAGGTCCTACTGGTTTTACTGGTTCTACTGATCCTACTGGTTTTACCGGTCTACTGGTCCTAT